TGACTATAATGTTATTTTTTTCCTTTAAGATTAAATAATTTACTGGCATCTTTAACTAATACATGCTCCGCCAATTCCAAATTCTTCAATAGCTATTTTCTATTCTACATTTCCATGTAGAGAACATTAGTTTCTCGAGGTTTATTTTCTTAAACGGAGATTTATGAAGTTTTACAAAACATTTTTAATCAATATTTAGATTGGCTTCAGGAGTCGGTCAAAAAACTTAATATGTTACTGCTACTTGCTGAAGAACGAAGATCGACAGACATGGAAAATATGTCATGCTTTAACTGAATATTAGACAGCGTGATTCATTAATGCTCCAACGAAAACAACATGAGAAAACGTGTGACAGAACTAATTTAAACACGGAACTAATTTCAAGTAGGCATTAATTTCAACTCGGAACTAATTTCAACTCGGAATTAATTTCAACTCGATTATAAATCAAAGTTATCAATTTCCGTTAATTCCTAAACAAAATGCAACGAGTTGATGTTATTTTTTTTTAATTTAGCATTAAAAATTCTTAGGAGATGAGATAATTGAGAATTCATATTTTCTTCAACTTTCATTTTTTTTGTTGCAAATGAAGAAAGTGGTATTTTTTTTATTTACCTATTTTATTTTACCTTATTTTATTTTACCTTACTCATTTAAATCTGATCCAATAAAAATGCAATATTCTTTGTAAGAAAATTAGATTGCTTAGCAGTTTTTTTTAAAACTTTCGTTCAAAAGAAGCAGTTATTGATCAAAATTTAAGAAAATCAATAAATTAAATTTTAATTTCGTTTGAAAACGTCACAGATTTATTGAAATTTAAATCTGTGTACTGAGGATTTCACAGATTTCACGTTCGTAAATAGAAAACTCTATTACAAATTACAATGTAAAAAAATAAACAGTTTCAAAACAATATATGAGGCTTTGTGGTATGCTGCACAATAGTTGCGAGTTGAAATTAGTTCCGAATTGAAATTATTTCCGAGTTGAAATTAATTCTGCACCCCGAGAAAAATATTTGAAAATACTGAAAGTCATAATAAGGTCTTGCCTTAAAGAAATGTTTTTATGCCAAACATATAATGACTACAATAAACGATCTACAACCGATATCTATAAAACATACGTTTTTTTAATGCCAAACATATAATGCCTACAATAAATCATCTATAAACTATATCTATAAAACATACGTTTTTAATGCCAAATATATAATGCCTACAATAAACCATCTACAAACTATATCTATAAAACATACGTTTTTAATGCCAAACATATAATGCCCACAATAAACCATCTACAAATTATATCTATAAAACATACGTTTTTTAATGCCAAACATATAATGCCTACAATACACCATCTATAAACTATATCTATAAAACACACGTTTGTCCTGAAATTGCAAAATTATGTAAAACAAATATATGTAGTTGCAGACATAAAACCAAGTACAAAATATTTGAACTATTTACATTGTTCACACTGTTGTCATCATCTTTATTGCCATATTCACGACGTTTAAGCCATTGTACCTTCCGGCCTTCTTCAGGTGATATACGTTGGAATTTCGAACCTAATTCTTTATTTATCCACGGGCCATGCCTTTTCCGGGTGTCAGTTAATTTCCTTTAGTATCTCAAGTGTTATTCAACCGTGTGTGACCATGTATTGAACTCACAACTCTTTGTGTCATCTCATTACTCCAATCATCTGAAACATGTGTCCTTGTGTATACCAGTGATTGAATATTTGGGCATTATAAATCTAATGCCTCAGTAACTATTTTTTTTACGAGAGCTCATATTACAATGATTTGTTATTGTATTTTTCTTTTGATCTCTGTATTACTGGTTCTCATATTATATTCATATCTCCGATTTTCCGGCTTAGAAGATTTTTGTGGTCTAGCATATGTGCTGCTTTATTAAGTTTTCGAAATTTCAAGTGATGTTCTTAGTTTATTATTTCAAGTTCGTACCACAGAGGGTGATGATCTCTCTTTTCTCTCCATATTTGGTTAGTAAAGTTAAAATATTTAGATTTAAACATTAAATAACTCCTACGTGCTGATATGCCGCTAAACCAAACCTTATGTTGCTGCGTTATGTGTTACTGTTTCTGAATATTGTCCTGATGTCCTAATGTACCCATCTGTCTTTTAAATGTGTCTAACGCACCGTACATCAGCGAACGGATATAATGCTTGAAGAGAGCAGCTTTCTTAAGAATATTCACTTAAAAAGGATCATTTCTCATCGATTAATGTCTGGTCCGATATTAATGTGCTTTAGTTCAATGTTGTAAGCACATATCAGGACTTCATACGATATAGGCAGAAAGCTTGTAAGTTTGGTGTTGTCCAATAAATACCAATTCCTTATATACGGATCTCTTGCACCTTTCAGAGAAGACGCTTTTACAAGCATAAAGGCTGGATTTTACAAGAAAGATACAAAAGATTACTTTTCTGTATCAAAATTAAAATAACGACCTCAGGTTGTATTATTGCAGTAGATTCAAATGGACCCCCCCAACAAAAAAGAAAGAAAAAAATGCGTTGGTTCCCATTCCAGAATAATGGGACTTAATGGAAGTCTTCAATAAACGTTAATTTGCCTTTCCAGATCAATAATTAAAACAATGATTCAAAGCTTTATTATATGAAGGAGACACCGAGGACAATTTGCTTATGCCTAATAACGAAATGTTTACCAAGACTAATTTAATCTGATACGGAGCCAAATTTCGACTCAAAGAAAGAATTTAGCGATTTTTTAAAACCAAAGTGGGCCCAATTGGCGTACATTTTAACGTTCTATATTCTGACCATTTATAAGGACCCCTTATCATTCATGGTCCTTGTTAAGTAATATCCAATTATTTAAATATCGACGTAGGATTTTTGGGCTTTAATTATATGTGAATTCTGTAAGCATGCTTGAGACTCTAACTATCATAAAAAGAAAAAATGTTTTAAAAATATTCAAAGAATATGTCTTCCTGTGTCAATTGCTTGTGCGCAGGCTCGCCAAAAATAGCAATCCCTATCGTACGAGTTAAAACTAAACTAGGTGGGGGTAGTGTGAACCACTTGATGTATGTTGGGGTAGTTTGAACTTGATAGTGATTGACTTTGTCATTTTTTCTTCTATAAGGGTATGCGTGTGAATCGTGGGTAAAATCGCCCTGTCTTACCTATTGAAATACGGGTAAACAGTCTGATTACGATACGGATCATACTAATTTCAAAACTGATGACAACTCTTCAAGTTTCCAAAACTTTGATCCTTGTAATGAGGGCAGATAAGCTGTGACTTAGTCAACTTCCGATTAATGGTTGGAAAGGAATTCGAGACGGCATTTTTCTCGATGGCAATCATAGACAAAACGAATATGATGACGGTGTTATGTACATAGGCACGGTAGGAGAAATCAGAAAGTAGTTTTCGAATTCCAGTGAATTAATTGCATTCACTTACGCGCAAATACCTTCGGAAATTATATGATTCATCTCTGCTCCCCCTGCTATGAATATCATAGCTGACTGGCTTCTTTAGTCATGGTTGGCATCCAGTCTAGCAATAAAACAACTCTGATTTAAAGTAACTAACGTGTTATTGATATTCGAATAAAATGTTCAGATTTTTTTTGTCATTTGGCGCACTCCTTTGGATTAAAACTAAATGAATCTTTTATCATTTTGGTGAATTTGGCATAATCTGCTACCAATCTAAAAAAAATGTCTTCTGAAAATTCCTTAGCCAAAAACAACTTCCGAGAATAAGTTAAACATCAGAATTGTTTTATTTAAGTCCTTTTTGGTCGGGCATGGAAGATTGTATAGCGCAAATATTGCAAGTGACTTACATTCTTTTCTACAGATTTTTCTTGGGGAGTAATGCATATTTGATTTATCCAGATTTATTCTTTTATCTTAGATTTTTTTTCTTTTAACTTTTGTTTCTTTAGCAAATTGTCCATCTTTATAAAACGCTTTCGGCCATTATTTTCTCACCACTATTTTTGGATCGTTTACTTGTTCGATGTCATACATTTCGACTTCTTCTTACCTTCATTTTCACTTTTCTTTCTTAGCCGGGATTAATTGCTTATTTTCTTCCTTCTTTTTCTATTTTTTTCTCACTCTTGTTTAAACTCATGTAACCCTTTTACAACACTACGTTTATATTTTTTTTTGTATCATTTTTGATTGATTTACTTTTCTCCTTCCTTATATTTATAATTCCACGTGTTCTGATGCTTACAGCTAGAAGACACTATACTACGTCTAATGACTCAAACAATCATCGTTGTCTCCGAATTCCCATTGTAAAGAGGAAGATCTCCTGCGGCATCTTTTCCTAATAACTTTTATATTATGAAACACACTCCCGCATAAATCCCTTCTTGTACATTACAACATTAACCTGTTCAACTCAAGGCTCAGTCTTTATTTATCCTCCTTATCCTGATCATCTTCACTTTCTACAAACTGATCTTCCGTTCATATCAGAAACATCACTCCGTAAGTAATTTATTTTCTCTCGAGTTTTGTATTGAATGAACATATAGATTTAACTTTTTTTTCTCTTCCCTTTTTAATTTTGTTTCTTTGATTAATTTTTGGCTAATATATATTCCACTGTTTATCAAAGTTAATTTTTCTCTTTATTTCTTCTCATTTTTTGTCCATTCGACATTTTCTGGCCTTTATTCCATTTTTTTCAGTTATTAATTGTTGCTTCCTTCTTTCTTCCACTTTATGTATTCTTTCTCACTTTTGTACATTTTCATCTTTTCTCTTTTGTTTTTATGCCATTTTCTTCGAACAATGGTCCATTTTTTGCTAAGTTATTAGTTCTTTTCATTTTTTTTTTTTACTTTCTGGCGTGGTGAAACAATTCATCATTTGTTTTAATTCGACCTATCTTACTTTTTAAAACAGTTTTCCTTTAATACATATATTCTTTTCATTAATTTTTTTTTAGTTTTCCATACTTTTCTTTCAGTAAAATATGTAATACGTTTTATTCATTTTCTCATTTACTTGATAAGCAGAATTTTTTTGAATTATTTATTTTTCCAGTCTCGATTATTTCCATTGCGTACTTCTTGTCCCTAAACTATTTCCCCTTTCTTTCTTTCTTTCTTTCTTTCTTTCTTTCTTTCTTTCTTTCTTTCTTTCTTTCTTTCTTTCTTTCTTTCTTTCTTTCTTTTTTTCGTTCTTTCTTTCTTTCTTTTTTTCGTTCGTTTTTTCTTTCTTTCTTTCTTTCTTTTTTCTTTCGTTCTTTCTTTCTTTCTTTTTGTCGTTCGTTTCTTCTTTCTTTCTTTCTTTCTTTTTCTTTCGTTCGTTCTTTCTTTTGTTCTTTCTTTCTTTCTTTTGTTCTTTCGTTCTTTCTTTCTTTCGTTCTTTCGTTCTTTCTTTCTTTCGTTCGTTCTTTCTTTCTTTCGTTCTTTCTTTCTTTCGTTCATTCTTTCTTTCTTTCTTTCTTTCTTTCTTTTGTTCTTTCTTTCTTTCTTTCTTTTGTTCATCTTTCTTTCGTTCTTTCTTTCTTTCTTTCTTTCGTTCATTATTTCTTTCTTTTGTTCTTTCTTTCTTTCTTTCTTTCTTTTTTTTTTCTTTCTTTCTTTCTTTCTTTCTTTCTTTCTTTCTTTCGTTATTACATATTTTACAAATATTGACTCGTTTCCCCAATATTGTAAACAAAATTTTCATCCATTTTCTCTTCTTCGTATTTTTTATTTTATTTTATCTGTTAACCTTTTATTTATATATTGAGCTTTATTCGTTCTCTTTTTCATTGCTTTAATTGTTCTTTCTTTTCTAAATGATTTCTTCAAAATTGTTCCTAATCACAATTTATCTTTTTCCCTTGATTTCTTTTATAATCTTTTCATTTCTTTTCCTTAATGTCGCATTCTCAAATATTTTTACAACATCTCAGCATATATTCTTCATATTGGACTTTGTTCTTCAAATAAATGTCACTGTTAATGATTGTTAATACGAAAGTAAAATTCAATTTGAATTACATAGGCTTAATTTAATATCTTTATAAGAAAAATAAAACTTTCTATGATAAACAAATCGTTTGTGATTCTTTATTTCTCTTTTTGTTTTATCTTTTGTGCTTATTAACTTATGCAAATAATGGTGTGAGTTCTGGACATTTCAATATCACCCAAAATAATACTTTTAACCTAAAAAACGAATGGCCTTTTGTACACACACACACACTATATATATATATATATATATATATATATATATATATATATATATATATATATATAACGTCATCCACAGACAGACTGCTTCGCTGCTCATCAGCGTGGATAGACACCCGGTTGTTTCTAGCTAGGATCGAAACCCGACAGAAGTGGTGTCTGTCGGAGATTCTACCACTAAACCGTTGGCGCACGGCAGGGCTGAAGGTGAATTTTAGCGTATTTATTTTAGAAACACATACAGTGACCGACAATGTCTCAATTCACTTTTTGCGAAGTGCCTCGCTATATTAGATATAATAGTCACTGTTTACAAACCCACACCTCATCCCCAGAGAGCTCAACTGAAAATTAAATATATATATATATATATATATATATATATATATATATATATATATATATATGTATGTATGTGTGTGTGTGTGTGTGTGTGAATTTAGGAAGCGAATTCTCTTCTAGGCATATCTGATTGAATAAATTACAGACATTATGCCTGCTAATTTTTAACAAAATCCGTTCATACTCACGAATAACCTTCCGTGAATTCGATATTAAATAAGGACATAAAAGTGCTATAATTGTTTACATTTTTTTTATTTTCATTTCCGAAGTATTCTCGATCTTCTTCCAAGAAAGTTATATGTTGTTCAGGGGTACAAGTACTTATACAAAGCTGTGCGTTGCTATCCATTACCGTAATTTTTCATTATGGTTTTAAATGCATACGGTTGACACTGTGCTGACCGATGAGTAAAACGTGAAAGAATATGTAATTTTTCCTCTATGTTATAATGTCATGGTCATGCGTGCATTAAAGTGTGTAAAACTGTTCCTTTATAGGCATTTCAGATCATTACTAGAGTATTCGTAATTGATTCATTTCAGTGCCGTCTTTAATTTTTTTAATATAAATTACTTCTAAGATCTGTAGCTTGAATTTATTATTTTCTTTTTGGATAGTTGTGTTGTCGATCAGTAATTTGTATATTGTGAATGTGGACAGTAATGTTGTTGTTGTTGCAATATATATATATATATATATATATATATATATATATATATATATTTCGATAAACGTGCAATCAATTTACAAATTCATGAATTATTCATACAAAAACAAATGCAAAGGTTAATGATTTTATTGGCAGAAATTTAGAGAAACAAGGATCTTTTCATTCATAACAGGTTCGGAGGTTTTTGTATATTATTTGAATTGTTTGCGACGATGGATTTCTCGCCAATTAAATCATTAACCTTTGCATTTGTTTTTGTATGAATAATTCAATAATATATATATATATATATATATATATATATATATATATATATATATATATATATCATTTCCACAGAACCAAGGAAATACAACCACTGAGACGCAACGTGTTAATGAGCTGTGAGAGAATATGAGAGAAAAAAAAACACTATTAACGAGAGAGAACAATAAAAGAACAGGAAATAAAATAAAAAAGACAGAAGATAGCTATTGAAATTCTAATTAAATTTTTGAAGATCAAAGTTGATTTGAAAGCAAGAAGCCGGAAGAGACTTCCTTAAACTAGAAGTGCAGGAGAAAAAAATATCTTCATAGAACTTACGTCTACATCTAACTATTTCAACACTAAAGTGCTGAGACACTGTCGTAAATCTAGCACTGATTTAATATTTATAAAATCTACATACAACAGAGGAGAGTTCATCAGAACAATTACCATGAACGTATTTCTAGAAAAGGCACAGTGTACCTAAGTTATGCTTATATTTGGAAATTAGAAATGAATGGGAAAACAGTACTAAACTTGGATATAATTAGAAAAAAAGATGAAGGAAAGCTGCTCTAGATATTATAATTACATGAAATTATGATGAAGAAAGTGAAAATGATAAATGTCATGAACGTAAATAAATGGAATCATGTTATTTCGCAGTGTTGATATGCTGACGGCATTTTCTGATAAAATACGCGATTAAAAAAAAAACAAAACAAAAAAAAAAAAACTAGTAGAGATCGGCAGATTCCAAGGATAGCAAACACCTATTTTGAAAATTACACTACGCCGGATAAACTAATATGGATACCTGATAAAAAATGTCATTTTTGTTTTCATTATAATTATTTAAATTAAAAAGCACTATTACGTTCATCAGAAACTGAATATGGAAACAACATATATGAACAGACTAATATATATATATATATATATATATATATATATATTCTTGCTTTATATATATATACATATATATATATATATATATATATATCTTACTTTATATATATATATATATATATATATATATATATATATATATATATATATATTAGTCTTTTCATATCTGTTGTTTCCATATTCAGTTTCTGTAAATGCTTTTAATTGAGCACTATTTTGTAAAAATAAAAATATCTATAAGATCACCGGATCATATATCTTAATGTTCTTTCTTTATATATATATATATATATATATATATATATATATATATATATATATATATATATATATTATATATATAAAATCGCTATTTTTTATATAGATATATGTATATATATATATTAACCTCTTTTATATATATATATATATATATATATATATATATATATATATATATATATATATTCTGTTTATACGTTTTTATGGATATATTTATTTTTAATTAAACATTATTAATTACATTTTCCGGCCTGAATGTACGAGAAATTTCGTAGAAAATATGCATTCTCCGACATGAATCGAATCTGTATTCTATACGGAACCGTCATTAAGGATGACTTGCTATGATCATTCAGGTATAGAAAACATCCGGTTAGCAAAGCCCGAATTACTGCTTTTAAACAGACACCAATTTTTCTCGATCTATCATATCTACCTGAAATTGTAGACTAACTTAAACAATGACAACACATTATATGAAATGGACGAAAATTGACGAATATTTTTAATATATTTTCTGTTTATACGTTTTTTTATGGATACAATTATTTGAGTAAATGAGGTGGATGTTAATTAAACACTCGTGTTTACATTTCACGGCTTTACTGTTCGAGAAATTCACTTTTGGTGTCCTATTTGTGTCAAATTCAGCTACGAACTCTGTTCTTATTCGCATACGTTTGCATATGGTTTCTTGTGCCGCACTAAAATTCCTTTTAATACCCCGTAAAAATAGATTTTGAAATATTCGTATTGGATCATCCGTCGCGAATGCCAAGCATTACAGTATGCCATACCCCAAATTCCATTTCTGGAAGAGTAAATTGTGTGATGCTGATGTTTTTCTCACAGAGAGAGCCAAATGACCCTACTATACTGTGTAGTCAGCAAAATAAAAATAATTATAAAAAAACAAAACAGCACACATGCAGGAAAATAAAATTCTAAAATGGCGACAATTTATCCATCACATCCTACATCCTAGTATATATATATATATATACTCTCAAGAAAAAATATATAGCAAGAGGTTGGTTTGTTTGGAGAGAAGTTCTGAAAACGCAATATTTACTTAAGGAATTCTTATTGGTTGGACGGAAATACGATCTAGATGAAAGTCTTTTACTAAACTCTCAGTCTAACTGTTTAAATGTCAAGTAAGTAAAATGACTTTTACAATATATATATATATATATATATATATATATATATATATATATATATATATATATGTTGTCTCGGCTGTCTGTTCCCGCGGCCGTTAAAGTCGTATCACGGAATAGAAGCGTATTCTGAACCGGTTTCGTTTGATGAGATCTTAAGTAGGTTCATGCAGAGAAGACATGATCGAGAGAGAATTACGATTCGTGCCGTTATAAGAATCTGCTGTGCATGTTGTAGTAAGAACATTACACTTGATTTTTAATAAGTAACTCTTGCTAAAAGTTGTAAAGTGCAATGCGTCTTACCTTCATTGATCTATTTATTCCATTTCCTGCAATGTCTGTGTTTGTTTTAATTATTGGGGTGTATATAAGTACTTATTTCCTTTTTCTTACAATTTCATCTATCTATCTATCTATCTATCTATCTATCTATCTATCTATCTATCTATCTATCTGTTTCCTCTATCTATCTATCTATCTATCTATTTATCTATCTATCTATCTATCTATCTATCTATCTATCTACGTTCACGTACATATGTATATTTATCTATTTCGCTGCTCATCTGTGTATCAATCACCATCTCCTCATATCTTTAGCTATCAGTCTGTTCATATTTTATTAGTGACTCCACAAACAGACACTGATACATACATACATACATACATACATATATACATATATATATATATATATATATATATATATATATATATATATATATATATATTGTATATTTGGGCAGCAAACTTTCTTTTTATACATATTTTATTGAATGTCACAGATAAAGAAATTCTTATAAGTTTTTATTAAATTTTATCTGTTTTTCGTTTTCTTTTTTGACGGACATTTTGATTGCAGAAACTGCCCGTAATTCTTACTGTCCCAAATGCTCTCGGCCAATTCTTAAGCCTTTTCCTTTTTTGTTGTTAATATCGTTTTCAGTGTTTGTGTTGGCAGGCTATTGTGTAGATGTAGTAATAATCTTAGGCTTCATTACAGGATGAGGCTGTTAATTAGCGTTACGGTGCCTTTTTGAAAGCTATAGACATATTACCGTTCTTTGTTAAATAAAATAAAGTTCATACTAAACAAGCAGTGTCTTATATAAAGATTTCAAATCATTTTTAATCGTCGTTGGGGAAATAAATCGATATCGAACAGAAATTTTTCTAACATAATCATGCCAAAGAGATCCAATAGCCAGTTGATTATTATAGCATTAAATATATATATATTTATATTTCTGGGATGAGGAATTTGACTATTTACATCGTTCGGACTGTTGTCCTCATTTTTTCTTGCCATATTCACAACGTTTTGACCGCTGTACGCTTTGACCTTCTTCAGGTGATAAACGTTAGAATTTTGAACCGAAAACTTTATTTAGTAGATAGTTCTAATTCCACGTGTCATGCCTTTGTGGGGTGTCTCAGTTTCAGTTAATTCTTTTTAGTAACTCATTTCTGTAAGTTTTTGTTCTCTCTAGTGCAGCCAGGTGTTGAACTCAAAACTCGCAAAGTAGACAGATTTTGGTACTTATAGAGTTTCACAGGAAATATGCAATTTTTTTCCAACAAGTTTAGCGATGGATAGTATATAGGAGTTCCACTTGAGTTCTGGGTTCAGTTAATTTAATAGGCGCTCATCGGAGTCTACATAAGGGAAAATCGTTACTTTTTAGTAAACTCTTTGTGATCGTATTGAATGTTACCTCAATGATAAACACATTTGTCGCGTTCCTGCTTCTCAATTTTTCACTTCGCCTGTGAGGACCTGTATGTAGCTGTTGTCGTTTATGCGTTTGTCTAGGCATGTCTGCTGAAATATTGTGATATTGTAGGATTAGGGGCATGTCAGCATTTGTCCTATTATCGAAATCCTGGCCAGTTCTTTGCTGATATGATGGGGCCGGGGATACCTTACAGTATATCATGGAAAAGAAAGAATGATAAAAAGAAAAATGTTGTAGCTGTCTATATTTCTGAGATGAGGTATTATGTAACACTATTTACATTATTCGGACTATTGTTCTCATCTGCGTCGCCATATTTAGTCAAATAGATGTTGTGAATCGTTCTTGATCGAAGTGCAGGTTAAAGATTCAATGCTAAAAAGCACATGGAAATAAACGCGAGCAATCTCATTCAACATTGATTCCAAATTTAATATCTCGAAAATCGTGTATATTTCGAGAAAAAAGATATTACTTGAAAGATATGTGCGCGGTGCCTTTTAAAACGGGTGACATCATCTGGCCTTTTATTTTTAAGTAGGTTGTATGTTTAAAATTATTTCTCGTTGATTGTTTATCTTTTCTCACAGTATAGACAGTTACTTTTCTTTTTGCAGTTGTTATATAATACTGGAAGGTCAATGGCGCCAATTTTGTATGTTGACGTCAGTGAAGGTTGTCAGCTCGGCTTTTTCAATCGGCCGGCGATCGCCAATTGTTTCGGTTCGGCAATGAAATACTTCAACACAAAGAATTTTAACTTATCTTTTTTATTAATGTTGACCTGTACTAACTATCCAATGGGGATCGTTGCGCCTCACTGGGGAGCCGTTTCAGACACGAAAGTGAGTACATCTACATTGCTTGACGTGTAAGAACCAACTCACTGCAAAAAAAATTATCTATCTATCATTCCCACGTTTGCTAAGCCATTCAAAATCGACTCTCTTATAATGTCTTTCATCTGACCTCGAAGGTCAACTTCAGAAAATCGGACTGGAGATACACATCCTCTAAAAATAATAGTCGGCAAAACTATTATTTAACAAAGTTTCTTTTCTTTTTTCTTTTTTTGTTTTTGGTTTTCTTATATTCCTTTTCGTTGTATTTGTCATGAGGAGATTTGAATTGAGGGGGAAAAGAACAGGAAAAGGTCAATATAATTATCATTCCCTGCCGTTAATGGCAAATCCAAGTAGCCATAACGTGGATAAGATGAGAGCATAATGTGGCCTCAGGGTTGTCCAGCAGAAATACACGCAGAGACACCTACCCATGCACGACGTGTCACTACAAATACACCGATATTATGCAAGTATTGATCAGCTCAATCTCTCTAAGCGCTACCAAAGAGTTCGGGCTCCTTACTACCAGTCGGATGCAGCAACCAGCAAGCTGCCAGCATGTTATCCACTGATTAGTCTGATTACCAAAAAGATAAGACAGTTATACCATTATGGCCATAGAAGAAGAAGTAGAAAGAACCGGAAAACCAAATATTAAACAGGAAGCAAGAAATGATCATCTAAAATAAACATTTCTTTGAGCATTTTAATGACTTAACGAGCTATTTTCTTTCGCTTTTTTACGCGAATTATGCGTTCTTTTTAGCCATACATAAGACATATTGAAGGGAAAATAACAATGTATGTAACAAACCTTTATGAATCGTGTCCAGTATTTTTATTAGGCAAATGAATGAAAAAGTGGAAAATATTATTTGTAACACGTTACGATCTAGAGAAGAATTTCGTCAGTCACATGTAATATTTTTGATTTATGAAATTATATAAATATAGAAAAAGGAGAGGTAGATATAAAAAAAGGAATGTCAATAAAGAATAAAACGTCGCTTCTACCATTAGACAGACTGTTGTGTGAAAAGTTTTAGTCAACGATCTTTCGACAACGCAGTAAGCAATCCTCGGTAAGATATTGCCAGTAGTACTTGTTGTGTAACCTGACATTATTATTATTATTATTATTATTATTATTATTATTTCTGCTATGGACACACTACCTACCAAGTCTGCGGAAAGACCTAAGGCAGGTCGTGGTGTGTTGTTATGGCCACATTTCATGTTAATTTTTTTTTTTTTTTTTTTTTTTTCTCCGATGAAGTTGCTAGCGTTACATAGACAAAGTTCTCCTTAGTGTGTGTGCTGTACTTAATAAGACAATTTCTGTATGTCTCTTAAGCTGGGGTTTCAGGGATTCTTTTCAATGTGTTGTTTTGTTCCATTTTTATAATTCCAAGTACCCTATTACCACTGGTATTATTCTTGTTTTCAATTTCCACATTTTTTTTCTATTTCAATTTCCAGGTCTTTGTATTTTGATAGTTTTTCAAATTCCTTGGTTGCTATGTTACAATCCGCTGGACAAAGCCATATCAATTAGTAGGCAAGTTTTTTCTTTCTGGTTTTTGACAATAATGTCCGGCCTATTTGCTTCAATTTTTCTGTCTGTGTGGATGGTATAATCCCATAGAATGGTGACATTTTCTATTTATGTAACCGGCGCTGGCCGATGTTCATACCAGTGTTTGCTTACACATTTTCCAAAGTGTTTGCACATTGTCCAGTGTAAGTATTGCCCCACTCTATCGTGACGATTTTTATATTCATTTGGGGCAAGTATAGGACATCCTGAGATTAGATGGTCTATTGTTTCTTGGTATTTGTCACAGAACCTGCATTTTGGATCCACATTATTATGTATGATATTTGCCTGAAAATTCCCTAGTGAAAGACTCTGGTCTTGCGCTGCAAGAATAAAGCCTTCAGTTTCAGACTTTAATCCAGATGCTCGTAACCATCGATGAGTATTAACTTTATCAACATTGGGTTTATTTGCACGTTCTGGATATTGGCCATGCAGAGGTTTTTGTCTTGCCAGCGTTGTTTCATCTGTTCAAGGGCTTTATCCTTGGCTTTCTTTTTCATATCTTTTGCTGCAATAGTTGGTTCTTGGCTTCTGTTTGATTTTTCTACAGAATCTACGAAATGTAAATGTTGTTTGTATTTACTGCCTTCTTTTATTATTGAATATTTTTTTTTTCTGTTTTCATGTTGTTTCACTAATTTTATCATCCAGTCATTTGTTGTTTCCATGTAAGTTAGTAAGCCAATAGTTGTTGTCTTATATGACAATTCTAGCTGAATAAGACCTCTTCCACCTTCTTTACGGGTATGTATAGACGGTCTACATCAGCCTTTTGATGATGCATCTTATACTTAGAAAGAAGCTTTCTTGTTTTAGAATCCATTTGTCTGATGTCATTTAGAGTCCAGTTCAAGATGTTGAAACTATATTGGACCACTGGGATGGCAAAGAGGTTATTAATGGCCATAATTCTGTTCTGAGAATTCAATTCAGTTTTAATACCAGTCGTACCCTTCTATAGTACTCTTTACGCACTATTTCTTTCATTTTCTTATGGTGGAATTCCTTCACTCTCATTTACACCTAGGTACTTATAAGCTTCTCCTTGTTCTAAATCTTTTTATTGTTACAGCAGGGTCTAAACTAATAGAGGAAGTTTGTTGTAGCGATCCTCGTAAACTGTAGCTTTAGCACATTTATCCAAATTAATTTCATTCCAATGTCTTCACTGAAGCATTTTACAGTTTGCAGAAGACCTTCCAGCTCATTGTCATTCCTAGCATACAATTGTAAGTCATCCATGTAAAATAGATGGTTTATTTTCTTTTTGAGCTATTTTTGTAACCGCATTCTGTCTTGTTAAGTTGGCTGGTTAATGCTATAAGTGATATGCAAAATAATAAAGGAGACAAAGAGTCACCTTTGAAATATTCCTCTATTGATGTTTATTTCGCCAGACTTATAGGTTCCATTTTATGATTGAGGTAAAGTGTAGTTTTCCATAT